GATTGAGCGGAGTGATGTGTCGATGTAAGATTTGTGCGACCACCCAGAAGCAGCATTTACAAGTGTAACAAGACTCATCAATCATTTCCGATGACAGGAGTAAGAAGGTGGCATATACAATTTAAATGTGAAGCATTTGCTCTGCCAAAAACAACATCGCTACTCTGAGCTTCTCTGTCAATATTGTTTTGAAGAGAAGGGGAGAAATCCATCTAATATTTTTTTAAAGAGTTACCGGAACCAAACACAATGGAAATAGGACACAAAGCAACATACTTAGAAAATGATGTATTGGTTTATAAGGTTATTCAAGAGATTTAAGTATTTGAAAATCCACAAACTATGAAAATATATAACTACTAAGAAAAATATGCTTTTGTGTAATTTGTGGAATGTTCTATTTACAGGTGTAAAATGCAGCTGGGAAAGGATGAAATGTGGGTACAAATTGGGACGGGAGTAAACTCTACAAAAAGCAAAGCAAAGGACAATCTGCACACACAAGCAAAGGCAACTCTTCTGGGAAAAAGGAAATGGTCAAATTTCCTCAGAAGGTTGAGAAACGAGGTGAGGGCCTGTGGCACAGGCTGCCAAAAAATGTCTTTGAGGACAAGTGCAAGTGTGTGTGTGCGTGTGTGTGAAAGCTACAGTCTAAGCAACATTGTTAGACATCAAATATTTAGCATTATGGATTACAAGTACAAAGTGAGTGTGTGTTGTTGTCAAGTCACGACAAAGAAACTACACTGTTTAATGATTCATTCCTGGATCCTTATTTTAGACTCGAGGTGAACTCAAGTCCACCTTACGTCTGCAGGTAAGAGACCAGTCGCAGATTGTGACTCAAACCACTGAAGAATGAAAGCAAATATGAAAGACAACCCTGTCTTTGCATTTTACAGTCAGTTCATCGTCTTCTGCTAATCTAATGAGGTTGTAAAAGGGAACTGTAGAACACATGGCAACATGCAAAGCAAATCTTCAAACCTGCGATGTGGGGCTCCTCAGGGTTGTGATTTTGAGTCACTTTTACTTCGACAATATATATGCTTTCAATAACAGATTCCTAAACAGGCTAAGATGATATTCATGTCTTTATATGCAGATAATTCCGAATGAGTGACTTTCACTTGCAAGTGATGCCAAAAATAATAATAATAAAATAATAATAATAATAATGACTTTCCTTTAACCTCTTACACGAGAAGATCCGATCAGTGCCTGGTCATATTTCCAAAAATTGTGCAATAAATTGGCAACTGTGAAAAACTAATATCTTGACAGACATGCCACATGAATAGTGACAATCTACTGTTTTTGTTTTTGTAAATTAACATTATATTGAAAAAATGTGGCCCAGTTAGAGCAGTCACCTTCTTCCCAATGAAAGTTCGAACCTTATAGAAGGTAAAGAGAAAAAAAACTGTTTATCTCTGATTCATCAATTTATTCATTGATGGTGAATAAAATAAAACTGAAAGGAGGTTGGGGTTCTGCTACACTCTGCTAAGAATCCATCCGAGACAAAAAACAATGCATCCTCCTGATATGATCTTGTGAAACTTCTACCAAGATCTACCTACTTCGATGGCAACTTGGACTGTTTCACAAACAACTCAAATGGCACGTTCAAAATATGCAGAGACAAGTCGGGTCCAAACTCACCACCGAGCTAAAGGTGTTTTAAGCTAGGCTGGTGAAGAATATAGCTTCTGTCAGGTACCATCTGTCATGCCGCCCACAGCTGAGCTAGAGTTCATAAGCAGTTAGACATGATTCATTTGCTCTTTATTAATTCAAGATAAGGTTTGATGGGACTCAACTAAGCACTTCAGCTGTAAACCACAACATACGCATGATTAATTTATCAACATTTAATAGCCCCTTTGCATTTCAAACTACAGCCTTTCCGTCGTAGGCTCTTATTGCTTCACCATTCCTTCTAAATCTAAAAAGCTCCCTCAGAAGCAATAAAATAGCTTCTAACACAGCACTTTCTGTTTTGATCAAAGTTCATGTATTACTTTGAAAAGGAGGAAGCCTCAGTGAGCCTCGAATCCGATGCTGCAGCTTTCGCAAGTTGTGAAGACATTACAAGTGCCTCGCGCGAGCTAAATGGTGTGTAAGACAAGGAACATCTGTATTTTAATGGCAAGCAGGAATAAAATGTGAAGCATGTGACAGTAGAGCAGTAGAGAGAGCTCCAGAAATGACAGAGGAAGAGGTTCAAGCATATGTTCAAGTATACACTCAGTACAGCTGGGCGTATCACCAAGGGAGAGGATCCACTTCAGACCCTAAAACAGCTCTTCATTCCTCTTCTGGCGATGCGTCTCACCTGATCAATCACTCTGATGTGGTCAAATGCCTGACACGCAACTTCTGGGTCAAATGGAAAGATACATTATATGCACTCAACTCAAGTCCAAAGCACATTCCGACAAATACACACCTACATACCTAAAAATCAATAGCAGGCATTTGGTTGTATTGACAATGCCAAGCAAGGTTAAGTATATGGACTTCCTGTAGGCGCCGCCTGTTAAGCTTTGGGCAAGGTAAATATGAAAAAGCACTGGGGTCATAGAGGTCAGATTTGTTTGAATATCATAAAGATTCAGCTCCCTCCCTCTCCTTCTTGTCTCTAAACATCTGGAGGATGTTTTTAAAAATGGCTTCCTAGGAAAACCTCCAATCTTCTTGAACTCAGGAGTCTGGTGAGCTCTATAATATACACAAGACTTTTAGAAGTTAAAACAATTCTAGCCATCATACAGAATCTTGAGTTTTTGCATGAATAAAAAAGCTCTTTGAGATATTTCAACCAGCGTAATAATGTGACATTTGAAATTCAGGGCACGTTCAAAAGGCTCTTATTGTGAAAAGTTTGCTGTGTGCGCGCACCATTTGTCACCCGACAAGGAAATCATTGTGCCTGCTGGCCGCGGTTTGCTCAACATTCGAAAGGCTGCATTAGCTGAGTCATCCCCCGGCTGGCTGCTGAGGAGCGCACCCGGGTCTCAGCTCATCTGAAGAAGAGACACGTCTGACAAGATATAAATGTTTGCTGGACTGACCAAGGGCATTTTTGTTATTCTTCTCGGCAAACCCTGAAAACCCGGTAACAAGACAAACAAGCCAGAAAGTTTTGAAGATCAACATTTTACTGTTCCATCTTGCAGCTTTTACACCCAGCACAATAAAATGTCTTTGAATTGTTTGCATTATTCATTAACGTTCGCTGGAATCATTACACTATCTGGCCGATATTGGATACTTTCACACATTTGACAGGAAATATTTGTTATTTTTACATTTCAGGCTTTACTATGAATCTATTGCACATATTCTGAAACAATAAAGCTAAAGATGGTTTCTGATTCAGAGTGTGGAAAATGTCACCACCTTTTCTAGCGTCTACACCAATTTAGATCAGCCTTATTAATTGTGGTTAATGTCCTGTTTTATGTATTATGCTTTTTTTTCTTTTATGATTTTGTCTGAAATAAGTGCAAGTGGTCTACACTTACACTTGATTCCGATAAAAAGTGAGTGTTTTTGGAAATGCACTACATAAGTAAAATATATTATTATTATTACTACTACTTGAGCTAAATCTACAATATTTGACTTGCCAAATTAAAACTGCCTGATCTTTTAATATATTTAGATTCTTTTACACAATTTATGAGCTGTGATATCTTCACTCTAAAATTTAAAAACAAAAGGAATGTCAGTGATTTGTTTTGTACCTTCCAAAATGCTGGTTTAAGAGGGTCTATAGAAAAGAAAGATGTGACAGTCATATTTTTTAAAAAGAAAAAAAAAAAAAACAAAACAAAAAAAAAAGATCTTTACATTTCTTTTGTACCTGAACCATCATCAACACAGAATACATATGTGTGAATGAGACCAAGAGAACAGGCAGGAAAGCGAAGCTGCAGGAAGTAAAAGCACTGAAAATGGAGGAGTGCAAGCACCTGGGGGTCAACTACCCAAAGCAACAGGAAGTGAATCAAAGAAGAGCAAAGAGTGCAGGCAGAATGGAGTCGAGAGCGTATTAGGAAGGTTTACAAGCAGTGATGAGCGGCTTAGAAGCAGCGCCACTGATAAAAGGACGGGGGGCGCCGAGCTGAACATGAACATTTTCATTTGTGGCAACGAAAACGGACGGAATCAGAAATGAGCACATAACAGTTAAAGTCATGGAGGCCAGACGGTGGTGTTTAACGCATTCAGAGGGGATGGAGGATATATGGGACAAAAGATGCTGAATATGAGCCTCCCAGGGAGGCAGAGAGCCTGCAGAGAGGGTGATAGGAGACACTAAGGGCAGAGAGAGAAGCAGATGACTTGCTGTGGCAACCTGCGGAGGATGCAGCCGGAAGAATAAAAAAGGGATTTGTACGTGTACACGTATTTTTAAACTTTTTTTTTTTGTGGCACTAAGCAGGTCTAAAAATGAGGGTTTGTACACTTTTCAAAAATAGTGAAATTAAAGCATTTTTCAAGGCAAGTCTTCAAACTTTCATAGGACAGATAAAAACAATATAAATGACAATTCTATATACTGCTATACTATTTATTACTGTAATTAATAAAGTATTGTGCTAGTATTCTACATACAGCATGGTCAAGGTAAACTAAAGTGTAAAAATGTAATTTTTTGAAATGTCTCTCTAAAACTTCACTTTTTCATTCTCCTTTTTCTCCTCCTTCCCCTCTTAAAATTTTCTCTGATGAAGGAAATGACTGGGGAAAAAAAAAAAGTGAGTCTTACACTCTGATGTGAAACTCCAAAGTTTTTGTCATCCCATCTGCATAAAACTGAAAACTCAGAGCTACACGCCGCATCATATTGCCGTTTCGTCTTGGAGGGGGGAAGGATGTTGTCGTCAGGGAATAATTCCTAAACCCTAAAATCTCCCGCAGAGCCAGAAAGAGGAGGAGGGAGAAAAAAAGAAAAGCATGATAACGGCGGGCCCTGTGTGTGATCGCACCTGATACGTGTCCCACAGTCTGATCGTGCACCGCAGCGGCAACTCCCTCATCAGGAGGTTGTTCATCCAGCGGAAGGCGAACTGCAGGTACTCCACCTCGTACTGCTGCATGTGGCGGTGCACAGACTCTGGCAGAAATTAGAACAAAACAACAACAAAAAAAACATGATATAAAAACCTCAAAAACGCAAAAGAGAACAGATGCAAAACGCTTTCATGGTGAGACGGGGCGGAGGGGGGGAAGAAACCTCTAAGCGACACCGTGGTGTGAGATTGTCTTTCTGAACTCCCTCTTCTCTATTACAAAACTGCTGTCATCGGTGTCGCGCGCGCGACTGTTTCCTCATAATTGAAATGTAATTACAGAGCCATCCAAATTGTCTGGGAACGGCCTCGTAGCCGGCGCGGGATGAGAAATGGAAGCGGAATTGTATTGTTAACCAACACTCCAGAGAAATTGCATGTCGCTCCGATGGAGACTGAAGTGCATATAAATTAGGTCAATGGCGTCCAGAGGTGAAGGCTGAATGACGGCTTACATGTAACGTATAGAGAGCATGTTAATTACTTCTTTGACATCGGCGCCCTCGGCAGAAGCTGATAAAAATTGTGTTGCGCCGACTTCTGACCCGTCGCGGAAAGTCAAGAGTGTCGGAAACCAAAGATCGGGACCCTGTCACTTAAAGGAAAAAAAAAAAAAAAAACAAAAAGAAAAGAAAACTCCAGAGTGAATATTAATGAGACGTCCCTCCTTTTCTCACATTCAGGTTCAACTTTTGATCTCTGTGGAAAAAATGTGGATTATTTCTCTGCAGAAAAAGAATTAATTAACAAAGGAATTCACTTAATGCTGAGAATTTCCAGAGAAATGTTCCACTTTTGTCACATTATAACCTCAAATATCAATGCTTTTTTATGGCTTTAATAAGACATACAAACAATAAAATAAAACATACAAATTAGTGCATAATTGTGAACGGGAAGGAATAATTTGATGCAGCTGCAAATCTGTTGAGTCACATCTCTGCCCGATTCACGTCTTACCACAGATTCTCACCTGGATGTGTGTCTGGACTTTGACTAGGCCACTAAGGGCATGCATCTCCAATCCTCAAATCATGTGGTTCGACATATTTATATCTATTTAATTGTTCCCCCCCCCAGGATTGCTCTGTATTTAGCTCCTTCCATCTTTCCCATCCACTGAGCTTCTCTTTCAATTGTAAAAAAAATGTAATGTAATGTAAATGTGGCTGTGTTGTGACATAAAATTAAAGGGAATTTATTACATTTGCAAGAAACTATACAATGGCAATTCCCAACAAAATAGCACCTTAAGCCACTTTACAAGGCAGAAAGTTCCAATTTATAGCCAATTATAAAGAGATTTAGATCCACTTAATCTCCTGAATTGTAAATAAGGTTGCACTGATAAATCCACTAGATCACATCTGTATACATGTGGTTAACAATAGTCAACCAATTGTTGCCAACTTAGCCACTTTTCAGACAGGAAAAAAAAAAAAAAAGGCCAAGATGGGAATCAGCAGATCAGGCTTTTCAAAAGACTGCAGTTTTTCCATCCGGTCACCAATCAGATCATTCCCACTGGCAATACAATTAGTACAATTAGGTAATTTAAATGTTTTCTGAATTCACTGCAAGGTGAAACTGTACAAAGATCTTATTATAGGTAAACACAGTTTTTGCTGAAATTATTGTGGAGCAGAAGAAAACAAAAATGTTTCCAAGACGCCAACATAAGTAAAGAGACCACACATCTCCTTTTCACCGGATTGCTCTTCTCCGCCTGATCCACCGAACGCACAGAGAGAGGGCCACATGTTGCACGGCGCGCCTTCAATATGGCCCCGGTGCGGGGCTCAAACTTCAGCGTCAGTGTCACGGCGTGCTGGCAGAACGCTCACGGAGAAGAATGGATGAGAGGCGAACACGTCGCCCGCGTACGGCGGCGGCGCGACGCCGAGAGTGACTGCCTTTGTTCTCCGTCTCCGTTCTTGATAAATGTTTGTTTGATGCCGTCTCCACATAACAAAAGATTAAAAATACCACCCAGTATTCTGTGACTCCTCGTTTCATAGTCATCAAGCCCATGACACTCATTCTTCCTCACACACACACACACACACACACGCCTCATAATAGAGCTGTAATTATGGAGCTGTCAGTGAATCCATAAGAAAAGCCAGTTAAGGGAGGAACTATCGCATCCTCTTCTCTCACACTCGCTTGCTCTTAATCAGAGCTGACTGACAGCACACACACACACACACACACACACACACACACAGCCTCAATAACCCTTTTATTGGTAAAACATTACGCAGTTACTTCTAGCCAGGGCCACATGCATTATTATTACCGTCGAACACACACCTGAACGACACCTATCTTGCTCTCGAAGACACAGGCGGGGACGCAGGGTAAACACAAAGCTATTATTTCACACTCTTCTCCACAGTTTAATTATCACATGCTGCTGCAAAAGCATAAACAAGGAAAGCTCATTAACGGCGCATGCATCACGGTGACAGATCTGAGCTCGCTGCCAAGCAGAGGCAAAAGGGAGCGGAACTACTTTAGACAATGTTAAATTACACTAATGAACTTGCTCCTCCTAATATTAGCGACTTCTGCAAACAGCGAGGAGGGGGAAGGGAAGAGGGCGCGGCGGCGACAGAGGGCAGGGTTATTCGTTATAACGTGGCAGAGAGGGAGAAATATTGAACATTATTAAATAAAAAAAATAAAAAAATAAAATAAATAAAAAGGAAAAGTTGAAGACGTGTGAGGGGAAAGTTGTAGAAGTTGAACCTTATTACTCATTGGGCTGCTGGAACAGTGCTGAGCATGCTGAGTGGGGTTGTTATCAGGGCTGAGGATGACACGTCTCACAGGCTGATTGACTGATGAGTCTGGTCCTCCAGCCTGGTGTTGGGTATAGTGTTGGCTCTCCTCGTCCTCAGCCCCCCCACCGCACCCCCTCGGTGAGACTGCAGCCCTGGGCTGGTTGGACAGCAGGAGGTCAGAGGTTCTGCAGTGAGCAGCTCTCAGGTTTCTGCTGATGAGGCCGATTCTGCCCGACTTGACACTCTCCTTGGTAAAACATGTAGTTACAGTTAGACTTTTTTTTTCCCTCTTTCTCCTTTCATCTTTTCCTCTGCCCCATCATCCGGCACTCCTAGTATGTTGACACTTTATCTCACTGCAACCTTCGTCTGGTGTGCTTTTTTTAGTTACGTTGAATACAAAAACCAGGTGAAACGTCCTTCTTCCACCAATTGCTTACAAATAATTTCAAGATTAATTTACCGTGATCAATAAACTTTAAATTCTATTGAACATTTAACTGCAAACAACTGGAAGACATTTTAAATGTCCGAGATAAGTAAACAAAACAGAAAAACCAAATAAAATGAATTATGAAAGCTCTAAATAAAATTCTTGTTCAAGAAAAGGGCTAGTTGGGAGCAAAGCACCAGACTGAACACTTTGTTCCTATCCAGTTTTTTGTAGGAAATGGAAATTATTAAGCTAGTTAATGACAGCTTGTGTCATCACAGCTGCAAATGTATAAAGAAAAATCATATTTATCATCATGACCATGACATGTCATTAAAGTGTCTGGAGAGCTGGTTTATTTTCTCAGGGTCAGTACTTAACTCTTTTGAATCTCATCGCAAGAACAGAAACTTCTTTGTGTCAATAGGTAACTTCTGATCGGATCGGATACATCGGATGGTTTATTTGTTGGGAAACATTTCTTATGGCAATTTTGATTTATTGTTATAATAAATGTCAGTTTTTTTATGTTAAATAAATAAATGAAAAAAAACGACAATATGATCTGAGATGTCTTTTTTTTTTCTTATTTGCCATTTTCTTCCCTGTCTGAAGCAGAATCAAACATGGAGAAGCAGCATTCACTTTCTTTGCACCACAATATCTGGAACAAACTTCCAGAAAACTGCAAAGATGCTGAACCCTGAGGTTGAGGCTGAAACAGCCACCTGTTTGGAGTTGTCTTTGACTGGAAGTGACTGGAACACTGATCAATATCTGCTGGGTGATCAAAACGCAATGTTTATTGCTAGTCAAACTGGTCACTATATCATGTTTATGGTGTAGAGCACTTTGAAGCTTTTTGGTGGGGAAATGTGCTTTACATATAAACTTGACCTAGATTAGAACTCAATCAACAGTTTTGTGACCGGTTGCTGCTAAAAGATTCAACTGAACCGGTAAGATGAATCGTGGCAAAAATGTCCCAAAACGTCTGCAAACTGGATCTAACCCAAGAAAATACTCATCTAATTAGGAAGTGACTGACATGTTTGGCACTGATAATAAGTTACCAGGTTTTATGACAAACATAAAAAGTCACAGTTGTTAACCAAAGCTTTCAGGGTAGACAAAGTAAACTTGCAACCTCTACACTGAGCTGTTTCATTTCCATGGCAGCACTGTGTAATATTTATGGACATAAACTGGAAGAGTAAGAATATTTATTTCAAAACCTCTGGTGTTCTGACAAGGCACCTACATGAAAAAGCACAGTTGGGGCCTCCGTTTTCCATTACATATATCTTGAAAATAACCCCCTTTATGGCATTTTGCAGTGACGGGCACTGGAAAAAAAGGCTCAAAAACTAAAAGTTTTGTCTGAAACCAAACAAAACACGCAGCGAGTCAAGTTAAAGAACTTGGAAAAAGCTCCAGACTGAAAAGACTACCGATAAGAAGTCTTTAAATCTCTTGAAATACATCAGAGAACACGTACAACTCAGTGTGGTGAGCAAAGGGTGATCTCTGAAGACTGTGTGGGAAGAAAAGGAAAAATTGTGTAACTGACCTCAGGTCAGGTTACAAGCCACTGAAGCAGACCTCAGTGTGAAGCTTTGAAAAGCAGGGGCCTGATTTCAAAAGAAAACCTTCTGCTGAAGCTACAAATAGAATATACACAGATTAAAAGTCAGGTACATAACCCACAAGGCCAATACTATCATCTACTAATGCTACAGAAAGGGTAATTATCCCTTCCAAACTCGTACACGTATGGAAGGGTTCCTTCTTTGCCACAGTCACTACAGTCTCACAGCAGACCCAGGATCAGCGAGTGTGCCGCAGATGCACGCTTTCATTAGCATAGATAGATTCACCTTGGGGCAATTTGCATGTAGATGAACTTGTTCTAATGCACTAGCATGCTGCAAATACAGAGATAAAAGAGATAAAGAGATCAGAGGAACGCTACGTGCCAACAAAGTGGTTGTTGTCTTTTGAGGCGGTACATTCGCCGGCGTCAAGCAAGGCTAATGGGAGTTAGAGTTATTAGCGCAAGACGATAATTACACAGAGGGGTAGTCTGACGGACGAGCATGGAGACACACACACACACACATTTCAAATGCAAGATTTAAAGCGAAGAGGAAGGAATGATCAGACGTAGTGGTGCAACGACACCTCAAAAAACTATGGGTTCAAAGAAAAGAAGTGCTTTAAGCTTAGTTAACAGCTAACCAGCTTGCTCACTAGCTATTTATTGGCATATTTTTGACATCCATAAAGGACGGCGTTGTTCAAAATCTAGTAAGATTAAGGTCATAAAAGCAGGAAACACCTGAAGCTGCTCATTTCTGTCAGCTATATCTCCTCTGTAATTGACCTATAAACGTCCTACAGTTTTATCTATTAAATATCACCAGCTAGAGCGGTAAATTAACACATCTCAAAGATAAATCAATTTGTTACTCATGGATCAGCAAGACTGAGAAGAAGAAAAAAAACTCTTCAATGTGGGAGAATTCAATTGTCAGAACTGCAGAGAAAACGCGAATAATCCAAAACAAAGAAAATACAGTTAATTTGGGATTTGTATTAGCTGTAAGAAACGTACGGCTCCGGCAAATCATCCTCCCGCTGTTAGAAGACAGAACCCCACATTTTATCAACAACAGCCTGGATAACCCCGCATCTGATAAGTGCTGATAGGTAATTTTGGAGCAGATGAGAGGCTATTGTTCCCAGAACAGATGCTATGTCGACAGCGGGGCGAAAAACAATCCTGTAACACAAGATAAGAGGTATCTGTGATCTCATTAGAGCTGGTAATGTCAAGCTAGCGGGGTATAAAATGTCTCTGCTGCAGCTATGATGACAGGGCACTTATGGAGGAGATACAGTAAATGCGTTGTCATTTTTTTTATGTTGATCTCTGCAAAGATGGAAGGACGACCATCAACTAAACAATGGGATTGGTTTCGTGTTAATAGCATCTGGAGAACTTGGTGTTTGGTCACATTAAGGTCAAAGGTCCAAAAATAAAATCAGATTTTTTCATTCCAGCTTTGATTTTAATTGATTTTCAATTGATTCTGGCTTTGTATTCTAAAAAGAAATAAAAAAAATATTCTCAAAAAGTGGCTTTTATTTCAATCATTCCTTCTGCTACGACAAGTTTTGCTCAGTTATGAGAATGTTATGATCTGAGCAGAATACGATTTAATTTTAATCTTAAAAATACAAGAAAAAAGTTGTTCAAGTTAGAAAAAAGCTTAAACAGCGCTATTAATCTGATAAGAACAGTTCAGTATGTTTCTTCAAAATGGTGATTTGCACGATCAGTTCTTTATCTGTAAAACTTATATGAAATACAGCTTCACAATATAATCAATATTCCTCATTTAATTTCTTTTTATGTTTTATGTCAGAGTTCACGTAAAATTACAACTTCATCTGACAAATATCATGGTACGACTTGATTCTTGAAATGTTATGATCTTATGCTCGCATTTAAGAAAAGAATAACTAAGCTTGGTCCTAATTTTCTGTTGTAGAGTCGACCTGAACAAGCTGGTCAAACAAGATGGCGGCTGTGGGTGTGCCAACGTCATGCTGACCTCAAAATGTTTATTGGTGCAAAAAAAAAAAAAAAATTGCCAGATTTTCCATAAAATCTTAAAAAAACTGATTAATCAGTCTGCTGCATTTCCTACATTGCCTTTGGCGGAGTGAAAGTCTTGCATCTTTCTTAAAATTTCCTAAAGCGTATATATAGTGAAAAATGAAATCAGAGCACTGTTATTCTGACTATGATAAACAACACGTAGATAAATGATGATGTTATTTTAATACTACAAAGAAAATATTCTCAGCTGCTTCTAACTGACTGATATATACTAGAAGTTAAAGGCATTCTGGTATTTAAATCAACAGAATTACTCATTGTGTTCATGTTTGCTCAACAAGGGAACAACTGGGAGTTATAAAGTATATCATATTTAACTGGGAAAAATTGTCAGAGAAGAAATATACAAGAATAAAAAAAAGCAGGAAAGCTCAGAAACTCCCTGTCCGACTCTCCAGAGGAAAACCTGCTCTGTTCTTGAGGTCGACTGACTGATCTGGTCATCCTGCTTCTGCAGGAGTCCTGAAAAAAAAACAAAAAAACTGTACCAACCTTTACCGACATTCACGCACCATTTAAATGCAGCGGGCGAGTCGCGCTCGCCCTCTGGCTGACGGAGCGAGCGACGGCAGAGCAGGACGGCGCCGCAAGTTTGCCAAGAACGTGAGCGCTCGGCAGAAGCTCGCTGTGATAAGAGAGCGTTTCGCACAATGCATCCTGTACGCCCATGCATGCCTCATGAGTGTTAGGTTGACTAAGTTAGAAAGGGAAGCTTTTCTTTCCCCTCTGGGAGTAAAAAAAAAAAAAAGAAAAAAGAAAAGATAAGACAGAGAGGAAAAGGGCAGCTTTGGTAATTAACACATAATTTTAACCATGTGTGGGGAAATGTCATTAAACTGTGGATGAGTCCACTCGGTTTGCATATATTATCTTCCCGAGCCCCCAGCCGCCCTCGTGTTTCCCCTGCGCTGTATTCACGAGCATGCACACTTTTCCACACAGCTGAGCGGAATGCTAAGCAGCCGGACGCCATATTAGAGACATGTAATTAAAAATAGCTTAAAGTTATACAAAGTTCAAGCAAAAAATAAATAAATAAAATAAAATAAAATAAAAAAAAACAAGAACTGTCATTTACATGCACAATAGATTTAAAACACACACACAGCATTAGTAAACCGCAATATTTTTTTTGATAAAACGAGTAAGATCCATTTTTTTGGAAATATTCTTACACTAAAATGTAAAAAAAAAAAGAAGTCAACATAACTGAATAGGTGTGTATTAACTCAGTTTCAGCATTCTGTCTGCTTGGCTTCACAACAAGCAATAAGTATAGTGACTCTGCTCAAGCTGAAATAAACCTCTGCTACTGAGGTATCATTTTCCTGTGTTTGTTCTTGACAGTTGCTTATTTGAGCTTTATTATCGAAATGATCCCGCACAAAGGTATCAGTCAGGAGAGGGAGGGAGAACTGTGGGAGAACGTGTCATGGTTCTTTGAAACTTAAAACAGGCTACGGTGTATTTTGGGCCCAGATACAATGATAAGCATCACCAAAGGAACAACATATCAAATATGTAGGTTTCTAATGGATGGCAAGGGGATTGGAGACCGCTCCAAAAGCAGGAAGCGGACTACAGCACAGGGCATTCTGGGTAAATAAAACCAACAAATTGCTTGTGGTCTTTTCCCCTAAAGACAATAAAGAAACCCCACAACCACTAAAACTCTGACATCAATCCATTTTTGTTCACATTTTGTAAAGACGGGAAGTTGCGCTCAGTGTCTTTTTCAGAAATCTTCATGTTGCTTCCCCTCCTGTTGTTCTTGGTGCAGCGCCACCACAGGCAAGGGAGTGAACAGGTTTCTCAAAGTCTGGGTTCATCTTGACACAATGTAGTTTGAAAATGTAACAAATGTTTCAATTTTACTCCCCAATGGAACAGAGTTTGCCCGGATACCCAAAAGCAGTTCGTGATTTTCTCTGAATGACTTCAGCGTTAGAGATCAAGCTAAACTTAAGGAATACACAGCAAGATTTAGCTGATCTCGAGCCATGAGTTTGAGGGCATTTATGTCTTCTCTGTAAAACACAGGAAAGAGGTGGGTGATAAAGCACCGAGGCAAAAGAAAGGCATAAAGCAGCAAGTGGAAATCAAGTCAAAATGAAAGCATTGTTAGCAAAAAGAACTTTATGGACGGGCAGAGAGAGGGAGGGAGGGATGGATGGATGAAGGGAAGCAAAGCAGATGACTCACCATCAATCCTGCTGACCAGCTCCTCAAGGGCCTTGACTTTCCTCTGAATGCCTGGCTGAGCAAATGTATAGTTGTCCTGAGGAGAAGACAGAAATCAGACAGAGTCAATGTGGACCCGGGCGCTGTCTAGAGCAGAGATATGACTTCAGATACCAGACTTGTTTTATATTCTTAGTGTTCAAGCCTAATGCAAACTCTCCTGAACGGCCTCCATCTTCAATGAAAAAAAAAAAAACGATGGAGAAGCAGGTGGGAAACAAGATTGGGTTAAATGGATAACGGCAGCAAATAAAACAAAACAAAACAAATGACAGTTTTTATGATATGAAATCACGTTTGGAATTTTGTACAACCCCGCTGTAAAAAAAAAAAAAAAAAAAGACAACAAAAACCTGCTGTTAGCAAAAAAGCGAATATGATTCGGTTTCAGAGTGATGTTCTGCAGCCACTTGGCCCGAGGGGTCAGCGTTTCGTGGCGCACAACAAAAACAAGTGCAAAATTTCACAATTTTCACTTTAACAATACGTTCTCGCCAGAGTTCAGAGGCTATTACAGATATCAGGCGTGTTTTTAGGAGGCAATTTCGTCCGAGGCGTCTTCTGAAACGGCAAATAAAGAAAACAAGGCCAGCTTATAAACGAAACTGGCACGGCAACAGGAAAGAAAAAAAAAAAAATCAACAAAACAAAACAACAAAAAACAATCAACCTGGCCTTCGATGATTATGAAGCTATGAGAAAGCAGGAGAAATTGTGTTTTTGTTTCGAGCAGCGGGGAGGCTCATTCCCGATCCACTTAGATCCCATCCAGCAGTCGGCCCCGAGGACCTACTTATGTCCAAAGAGAACTTGCACGATTTATGGCGGTAGTTTAGATTTTGCTGCTCGTCACAAAAAAAGAAAAAGGGAAAGAAAAGATACACACTCTTAAATGTCTAAACTCTATTTTGAGACTTCTCTTTCTTTTAAGGAGAAAAAAATATATATATGGGGATAATAAGCCAGATCATAATCACAGGAGTCCGCAGAGTCAGACGGTTGAGCTTGCAGAATACAATCCGTGCGGGATCAGCGCGTAGGCATTTAAGTGTGCGAGTGTGCGCCCGAACACACGGACGCGGCGAGGATTACGTTTCCTTGAGGGGTCATTTCGGCGTGGCTGGAGAACAGCTGATGAGGCAAACGACCCCACAGATGGAGAACGGAGAGAGAGGTGGAGAGGGGAGACAAGGAGTAGGAGGAGGAAGACCATTTCAGCAGGAATCATTTGCCAAAAACATTAAATAAAAGAAAATAAAAACTGTATCTCTTGCTGTTTTTCAGCCCTACGAGATGCTAACAGATACTACATATCAGGTTGTGTTGTGGTTACACAGATACGAACCTCGTTAGACGTCTGCTTGCCTAATAAAGCAGGTATCTCAGAATCAGGAAGCAACCAGGGTGATTTCAGTGATGATGGCGTTAACAAAACACTGCTTTGTTTAAGGAGAAAATATTTAAATAGGTTGCAATCAAGCCAAACTCCATCCAGTAAGATGGAGTTAAGTTCACATTTAAAAGAATGTAAATTTAACAACGTCAACAGTTCCTCTGATTTAGAGCAAAGTTGTTGCAATTGGAAACTGGAGCAACTGGAGTAAAAACAGGCTGCAGAAGCAGGCAGCCCAACTAATTAAGCAGCTAATATCAGCCCTATAACATGTTTCATGATTATAATAATATAAAAAGTACAAAAATGCAGACTAAATACTAAATTGAGGGACTTTTTTTTTGCTATAATCTATGTATCAAGACCAAAATATTTAAAGCATTAAGTATGTTAATTATTTTTTTTCTTTTTTTTGTACATACAACAGTCCAGAGTTAGAATTTTTTTTTTTTTTTGCAATCAATTTTTTTATTTTAGTTGTTTTTTTACATTCACAAAAATATGTACAATACAACATAACTAGAATAGCTGGAATAAGACATGGAAACAGAGAATATTGCGCCCAAAGTTGGAATATTTATAGTCATAAGTTTCCGGTACAACCGTAAATCTGACGCACAAACATCCAGAAACAACAACTGATGAAAAAGCTACCATTATTGGTTCCTTTTTGCTTCAAAATATTATTTTAGCCACAGAATTGAATCTTTTAACCCCTTAAGTGTTCTCATGTATCTGTTGATTTACATGGAAGTGTTTTGAGGGTGACGGGTAAGGAGTTTAAAAAAAGTAACTAAATCGTAGGTTGTTTGGGTTTTTTTGTGTGTGTTTTTTAATGTCGTCACCACATTCAGAGAAAGTCAGTGAAGTAAATGAAAGCATTTCTCTTCTTAACATCTACCATCTGGTTTGTTTCTGAGTTCTCTTCTAACGTGTGTGATGTGGGCTGAAAGTATTCCTCAGGAGCACACGTTTTCATCTCTTGCTCATCTTGAACCTTAGAAAGGCAAGTAGCCATGACAACAGCAACTTCAGCTCTCACATTTACAATTAACCTGGAGCTACTTTAATTTATCGGGGGGTTTTTTTTTCAAAATTTTCACTAAACAATTGTCTCACTCCGTATGTACCCATTAGCTTGATTTCTTGATTTGCCGTTTTTTCCCTCCCTCCCTCATCGTCCTTCCATAATCCTGCCTGAAAGTGATCAACTTTCACTGTTCCTCGCTTTCCACTATCTGAAATACCTTTTAACTTCACTTTGTTTCTTGTTCATTTACGTTTGTTCGCCAGCCTCCATATTCTGCCCCTGAGCCTCCTCGCCTTTCTCTTTTTCCTAACACTCCACAGTAATGCAGTTAGGAGCTAAGCAAGTGAGAGGGCCAGTGCAAGTAATTACATTTGCATTATTGAAGCTGCTGCCTTTAATCAACTGTCTTTCTCTGCTTCTTACCACCTTCCTCTTCCTCCAGGCTTTTTCTCCCACCGCCTCTTAAACCGGGCCTGATACGCCTCCTTCGTGCATCAGTGCAATAATACAGGATAGCACGGAGGCATAATAGGGCTTTGACATTGAGCCGTCTCTAAACAAGTGAATAAGGGATGCCTAACGAGTATTTGGCTTTTAAAAAGTGCCTAAGCTCCTAAATAGTCAAAACTAAACTCTTTTGCTCATTTGGAGACATTTGGCACTAATCTATCCTTATGTTCCCAAAACATTCCACTGCGATTGTTGCCTTCAAGGGACAGTTCAGATTCTTGAAATAGGCTTGTGTGAATTTATCATTAAGTTCTGTTACTTGTGTTAGAAAGATGTCACATTGCAGTGAGATTTATGGGAAAGTGAAGAAGAAATGAAAACAGATGAGTGTGCTTAAAGGTAATTTTATTCAAGTCAAACTGAAACGTTTTGTATCTACGGGACACAAAGGGGACCAGTAGATATCAAACATCTGGACTTTCACAAGAGAGCATTCTTAACTCTGTTATTTTCTCAGTGTTCACATTACTACAAGAAATTTTACTTCCTAAAAGGTCCAACAAATTAGGGCGTACTTCACTCCACTCGATGCAGACATAAATCGGACTCTTAAGCACAAAGGTCAATGATTACGACCGCATACGCAGCGCTGCACGTTAAACCACTTGGCAGGAAACAATGTTCTCATCGAGCTATTTAGTATGCGACATCTTGAGGAAGAAATTTGGAGACGACTTTTTTTACAAGTGTCTGACGAAAGAGATTAGAAAACATAGAAAATTGCATGATACATCAATGAAGGAATACATGGACTTTTAGGAACTTAAAAAAACGGAGGAATAACTTAGATCTTGGGTAAGGAAGAGGCACTGTGTCAAGGCAAGTGGAAATACCGGAAACGTGTATGAATGACCATGAAATGCCAACCTTTTGTGGACAATACGTGCAGTATGCTTCAGAATGTGGGAGTCTTTAGGCCAACAGCTTTAGGACTTCACCTTATCAGCTCATCTTCAGTCTAGAGGGATCGTTTTCCTACAACTTCAAGATCTGGAAGAGCATGGGAATGTACAACCTTCAATGTCTCGGATGACAGCAAAATCCCTCCAGTGCCTATTCGTATATATTTTACATCTTTAAGTAAAAACCAAAACCGTTCCTCTTAAATCTGTGCCAAATCAGGCTCCTTTCTCAAAACTTGGTTTGAGAAATCTGAATATATTTCACATCTTTTAAGGCCTGAAATTGAAATAATTACAATTTAACCTAGCAGAAATCCAAAACCTATCCATTTTCCTCCTTATTTCTCCAGCTTCGCCATCTTTAAACTGACTGATCGTCATTCACAATTTTTGCCAAGTAGAAACAGCCTGCTGCTGGCACAAACTTTAAGTGGTTTTAAATTTGACTCCTCATTTACCCAGACAAAAACCTTAAATAGTGACATTAAACTCGATTCTTTCAAGCTGAGAGGGTAAAACAAATGTTTCTCTACTTGCACCAGGCATCCTGATGGCCCCTTGTGTCAGGCCCATCTGTGCCTCCCTCCCACAGTGAGAGAGACGATGTGGTTCAGCCCATTCTCACCCCATAGCTCCATTCTACCCTACTTCCCTACAGATGGATTAGTGTCTCCCTTCCTATTTAGAAAAGAGACTGATGAAAATCTCAAGTTCAGCTTGGGCTGTCGGGGTTGTCACAACTGAACAGAAAAACCTTCAGGAAGGAATAGTGGTGCATCGTCAACAGGGTCAAGCTCCGTTGGTACACATGGGAAGCAAAGACTAGGCTTGACTGGTCTGACCCAACAGACAAGATACTGAAGCTCAAATTGCTGAAGGAGATTATGTGGGTTCTGACAGAAAGTTGTTGCTTCAGCACCAGAAATGGACTGCAAAGCAAAAGAAGAAGGTTGACGGTCCTGAACTGTGGAACCGGACACTGTGCGGAAAATCCATAGGAGGAAGTATTTTGGGCAAAAATTTGTTGTAAAACCACGGGTTCTGCCACCCATGTAAAAGTTAACTTTGAAAAGTACCACCTACTTAAGCATAGAACCTCTCATGGGGACTGTCTTACCTAACAGTTATGACCTTATTTTGCCACAAAGCAAAAACTGTTCAAGAATACTTTTAAGGATCACCCAAAATGTTTGAGATGCTCC